ATAAGATAGAATTATCCTCTTTGTCCTTGGCAAACTCCAGTGAGATGAGACCATTGAAAACAAGCATGCTTAAGTATAGTTCAGAGCCAATATAAGCTAGTCAGAAGCTTCCATGGGTGTCAGCCCTTCAGAGTAGATCAGACTAGGAAACCTAGTCTGTTGTTCAATACTACTTTTATTATAAAGCTATAGTAATAGAATCTTGCAAGTCTGAATGTGTTTCCCTCCCCCTCCTCCTTTTTATCTTCATGAGAACTAGGGAGGGGCTTTTCTGAGACATTTACTTACATTACATTTTTGCCCCAGACTCAACCCTCCAAAATCTGACTGTTGCCTTGGTAGTGACTCTTCCTCCTGTCCCCTAAGGCCATTCCCTCTTCCCTCTACCTTGGGAATGGACTTCAGTGCAGACTTAACTGGGAGAGTGCCGCATATTTGCCGGCTTTGAAGTAAGTCTACCTGCAATCATTTCTTTGGGGTTTCCTGACTGGCAGAAGGGGTATAACATCTTTGTTTTTCTTATTTTTCTTGAATCTTCTTTGATTGCTATTATATGTTATTTTCTTATGCTGCCTTGGAATAAAGCCTTAGGTACTCATACTGGTGCTGTCATTGCTTCTGAATCCAAAAGGACCTGTGACCCAACCCTCCTGGGCCAGGGACAGAGACATATAAGGTATGGATGTCCTTTACATGCCTGTGTGTCCTTGGTGTCCAGCAGTGTCAATGAGTTGGAAGCAAGCCTATCCTCGACCAAGTATAAATTGGGTAGGATTGGGCTAACAATCCCACAGCGAAGAAAGCTGTGAATTTGGCATATTTAGCTTTTCTTTCCAAGGGAAACAAATCAAAAGCCACTTGAGAGGGAATTAAATTTAGGAAGAATGGATATCATATTTTATACAGCTGTGTGAGAACAAGGGAACATAGGAAATGATTAATCCCAGTGGAATTAAACAAAAGTCTTTCAGCCAATCTTTTGACAGCTTTCATATTTAGAGTGGGCTACTATTCAAAAAAATGTCACATAAGCTTATGTTGGAGGACAATAATGATATACATATTCTCTGATTTGAAACATCTTTTTTTTTTTAAGGGTCTTTTCTGCAGCCATGACAATGATCCTTGCTATCAACAATCACTTTAGTTTTAGATGAGCATTATTTATACTGCCAATCGCTCAGAACCTGAATGTCAGGTGTGGTACTGGTAACTTGAGCATCCCTGTAGTTATGAAAATAATGTGGGTGGAATTTTGCAACAAGTTCAGGTTGTGTAATCCACTTATATGCATCCAGATGAGCTAAGTGTAGGGAGGTTAAAACAAGAGCGCTGTTGACTGAGAAATTCTTGTTTCAAATCTTTTTTTCAGCTGCAAGTTCATGGGGCAGCTTTAGGCAGATATATTCATCACATAATCAGTTTTTGTTCCAATGCAATAATAATGTCCATAATATCCCATGAGTGTACAAAACTGTGAATAAAAAAACATCATACCAGATTAAGGATGTGTACAGATTTACCTCTTTAGAGGGTGGTGGAGGATGTGGAAAGAACTCAGAAAGGATACCCACACCCAGCTCCAAATCCAGCATGGATCAGAGAGCTTTTTGGCATCAAGACAAGCCAAACCCCAGATGTTTGCCATAGCTGATCAAACAATTATTTAGCATCATTTTTAAAAAGCTCCTTAGAGGACTTTTAAAAACAATCCTGAAGCATGTTCCTAGAAAGTGAGAAAAAGTGACTTCTATATTGTCACAGGAACCAGAAAACCAGCAGGCTGGATAGATAGCTGCAGAGACAGGATAGAAGGACAGGCAGTCCCACTATGTGAAGTCAGTCCCTGCAAGAAATGGAAGGATTTACCTTTGTTTACAGTTTGATTCTCAAAATCGATCATTTGTTCCCAAAGAGATTATTGTATCTCCACAATCGGTTCATCACTGAGTGTGTATACATCAGAATGGAACCTACTGTTGTAAGAAATAACCTGGGAAGTTTCAGAAATGTGATTGATTTCTTCATTGCTTCATCTGAAAAGCTACAGCCATTGTATTAATGCTGCAGAGATAAACATGTGCATAATAAAACTCAAGCAGAGAACAAAAAAACTTGGGTCTGGGCTGATAATATAGCAGGAACAGAAAGCAAAGGAAAGTATAGTCTAGGATGCCAAATAAAAAAATCATGGAACCTACCAGAGAAGTTCAGGAGCAAATAAAAACGGGGGGAAATGCAGCAGAGAAAGGGAGCGATCATCCTGATTCATTTGCCAGACTGAATTGTTTCTCATTCTTCCTACAGGTCAGATTTATTTGTGTGACAAATTCAGGCAGCCTGACATTCTTTCCCCCACCCCCACTGAGGATATGCCTCTACTTCATTTTTCTAGAGGCACCTTCTGTGATCTGGAAACAAATCTGGGTGTTGCTGGCTCAGCCCGAGACTTTCTAAGGAATCACTTATTAGGTGGATAGAGGACTGTTGGCTTGGTTTGATATGTAGCTCTATGCCATGATTTGTTCTACCCAGTTTATTGAATAAACCACAATTGTCTGAGTTTACACAACACTTTATGCCATAGAAGTGAGCAATTGTTCAGAAGTCACATGTAACACTTCTAATAGGGCCAAGGATCGCAAATAGGTGAGATGATGATGCAAAAAACAGGATTTGGAGGTTCTTTTCCTGGAATAAGATGGGAAGATTTGAGAAGGGTTGTTTTAATTAATATTAAGATTTTGGGGAGCTTATACTATATTTTTTGTGGTTTCCACTTCAAAATAATGAAAGAGATAACACTGAATTTTAGTAACTGTGGCCACAATGTGTTCCAAGGCAACAAAAAAGAGATTCAATGATCACATGTGGATTGAGTCTTGTCTATCTTTCATAAACAATGGTTTACAAACCAAAATGGAGGTGTGCACAATATACTAAGCCGGAGTTGCACAGCCTGTGCTCTAGGATCACATAAGGTGTCCCCTGCCCCCTCCCTGCCAAGCTTTAGATGCAGCTCCAAAGACCTCCAAAACTTGTTACCAAATTGTAATTTTTAAATTGAGGAATTATTAAATACATGGTTGGGGAATAATCAGATTAAGTATAATTAAATATAATTTCTATTCATAAATGAAAAAAAAAGTTTATTTTTTGTTCTGTCTCCACCCATTGATTTTTTTAGAGTATGTTCCCCAACTATCATCAAGTGAGAGGAGAATGATGCAAGCCTATATGGTAACCCAAAGCCAATTGCTACTATGGCTTACTGTGGCACATGAGCTCAATCATCTCAGTCCCCAGTCTCTTCCCCATTGCTGAACTGAACTAGTATATCCATCTATCCAGGAATTGGCAAAAATGTGCAGTCTCTACTGCTAATCCATATCCTGCTTCTGTTGCCTCTATTCTCAGTCCCTGCAATCACCTGATGTTCTCCATGGTAATGGAAAACCATAAATTTTAAACATCTTGTGGTTGTTTTGGGACAGTATTGGAATAATAGGGAAATGTACTTATACATAAGGCTCTAATGCTGGGAAAGGTGGAAGGAAAGAGAAGAGGATGGCCAGCAGCAAGGTGGATGGACTCTGTACAGAGGTGATAAGTGCACTGTTGGAAGACCTGAAGGACCAGGTTGGGGATAGATTGTCATGGAGAAAATCTATCTATGAGGTCACCAGGAGTTGAAAATGACTTGATGGCACATAATCAATCAATCAATCAATCAATCAATCAA